TATATATATATATATATATATATATAAATAACATAAATGTTTTGAGGCTTTTCAAAGTTTTCTCTCTAGTTCTGGTAATTACTTTATCTGTTATCAAAATAAGAGCACCGTTGTGTCACACAAACTTTACCTGCAGCAAAAATGACTCTGTAATGTTCATTTTCAAATACAGTCGAGGATTTAAACTACACTTAATGAGTGTTGGTCGGTTCGGGGGTCGGTTATCTCTTCCTATTGCCCTCATGTTTCTGGTGACGCCCCTGCTGCGGCACGGCAGCATTTCCTTAGCTCCAACAGAATTACAAACTGCCGTAATTGGACCTAATGTGTCGCGAAGAACGATAAGCTCAGTCGACTGTTGAGCATATAATACATTGAATGTAAATGTAGGTATATATGTCAACTCTGTTTTCACCCCTCCCCCGCCACCTACACACAGGTAGAAAAATCTGCAGCCCCTTTTTTCGCGTACGGGAAAAACAAAACACTCTTACCCATATAATGAGGCTCTCGACGAGACGTGTTTTAGTATCGTCCATTTGCTTCGTTGACGCTAAAACATCTAAATCCACCTGACAGCAAACGGCTTCCGCTCTCTCTCGTATTTGACCTCACCTGCTGATGGAAGGAGGGCAGCAACGACACATACGTACAGATACGAGTCACAACTGCGTTTCCACGGCAAAGCGACGTAATATGTACGTGAATTCCGCTGCTTCTTACTTTGTTGACGTTCATTTAAACCGAGACTGATTGGATGGTTAAATCCAATCAGCGTCTAGATATGTGAAGCTTAACGCGGTCTAAGCCTTGTTGCAGCGAATCAGAGTGGACAGGTCTGTACACAGTCATTCTTGGTTTATGTAGTTTTGATTCTGAATCCTATTGGATCTGATGCTTTAAGCAGTTGCCAGATTAGATGGATTTCCGGGAAGAATAGTTGTTAATTTACGAGCAGTAGCCGCCATTACACGTTTAAAATAATGAGTATAATAGTAATATAGGTTCTGGGTATTTATTATTAAGGAAAATGTTTTTAAAGAATGTTTTAAGTGTTTAAATAACAAAAGCGGTTTACTTTAAATTTTTCTCTTGTCTGTTTTTAGTTTCAGAAATATTGTGTCAAATAAATATTGCATAAAACAATAAGAAAAAACATGCAAATAACCATACTTCTTTCTATTTTTACTATTTTCTATATACAGTTGTGAGTTATATGATCAATTGATATTAATATAATTAATTAATTTATATGAATTAATTTGTATATATTTAAAACTATTTAAAAAAGAGATAATTTTAGATGCTGCAGTGACCTGTTTCCTGTGACACAATTCCCACATGGAAGGAAAAACACCAGGGCCCTTGTCTTCTCTAAGGATAAATCATTGATCATGGACTCCGTGCAGCTCATGTTATTCATTTATGTGTCTCACGTGAGGGTGTGTCATTAGAACCAAAGGTGCTCCCACATTTCGTCACGTAAGATATCAAATACTATTTACATGTGTGCCACTTACATATAAATTAGACCACGGCATGGAAAGATTGTCGGTAGTATAAAAGGGCGTATTAATTAAATGAAACACACAAACATGAGCTTATTAATTGAATTTGGATCATTTTATTTTAAACAAATTAAAAATCTAATTTGAGAGTAAAAGTCACAGCAGTCGATATAGATGTGTGAGCAAAAGATAGCAAAACCAAAACAGCAGATTACAAGTCAACAAGAATATGTAACAACAAAGAGTGTCCAAAAACCACCAAAGGTAAAGTAAGAGTAAAGCAACTGTACTGTAGCAATTCAATAAAACCAACTATTTACATCATTACAGCAGATTATATTAATTAAAAAAAAGATAGATTAGCATAGCTTATTTTATTGCACATATACAAAAGTGCAGCAGTACAAACAGTATTTCTATTTCCTGGAGTGCATATCATTCTGAAGGTACAGTGCTCATACAACATTGGAGCTTTGCACTAGTTTTTGTACGTTTAATTAGTAGCTTTTTATAAGTGGGAAATTACGACTCAGCAAACTTTAAGGTATTATAGTATTGATTCAAAAATTGGGAAGAGTGCCTTAGAGACTTTAATGGAACAACAATATTGTGGTGGCACATATGATAGCATTAGCCCTAGCTGGTTCATTTGGAATTAGCATTGACAATAAGTTGTCCTCTCAGCTTTATAAAAATAAGGAAATACAGTATTTGAGTCTGGACTACACACTTTTTTACACTGATTTTTTCACGATTGCATTTTGTCCTATGCTTCAACTTTCACTAAATTCACTGATCCTCTTGACTTGTGGCACTGGAACCGCTGACCTTTTCTGACCGGTGGCTGCTATTTTTACATGACCTGGACCACAATGACTCCACTCAACCCCTATCAAAAGTAAGGTGAAGGACCTATGTGCCTGGATAATGCTGCAACTGCTGTCATGGAGTATAATGAACTGTAGTGAGATTGAAAAGGAGTGTTCTCACATGTTTACTCGGATTCTGCAAGTCTGCAAATACTGTAATATTGACTGGCCCCAAGTTAATGACCATTGCCTTTGTTAGATTTTACTAAAAAAAAGATGTGACGAGAGGGGGAAACTACAGAAGTATCAAGTCAGATTTAAAATGAAGGCACAGGAAGAAGGAGCTGAATCAAGGGCTAGTAAGAACAGCTTTCGTGCTCAGAATAAATACCACAGTTGTATTTATTGTTTTGAGAAGGTTGGTAGGAAAGTAATGAGAAACTACAGTAGACAACAGCTCACTTGTTGCTACCACTGTATAAGGAAGAGAGGGGCAGATTTTCTGGATGTATTGTGGATAATGGATAGGGAAATACAATAGAATATAATAAAATAAGGCAGTAAGAAATACACTGAATAAGTGTAATATACGCAACTGAATTCTATACTGTACTAATATATTCCATATACTACTGATACTAATATACTAATATATATACTCTAAGTCGGAGAATAGTGCAATATGGAGGTACTTTAGAAATAAAAATGATAAAGTTGAAAGTGGGAAATATGTGAGTAAATTCCAGTTTAAAAAGAGACAGTAAAACATTTATCTATTTGAGCTGTAAATAGGTTTATATTTTTATATTTCATATTAATGTTGTGTTTCATTCTTTAGACATTCTGGGTTTTCTGGTTCTAATTTTAGACATCAAAGTCCCCTTTCGGATTATAGTAATCAGGTTAAATTTAGAATTGCGCAGCGTGTGTAAACATGGTCAGTGTCACTGACAGTAGTGTGGATTTCACAACAGTTTATTGAAGAGAAAAATGATGGGAAACTGGGCTGTGGGCAAAGTAAACTTCAGGTAAATGATCAACACAGTCAGCTCTAACCTACTTAGACTCAGTGAGGCCAGGAATATCCTCCACCTGTCATTTTAAAAGTCGATCCCACCTAAGGAATTTTTTTTTTAAGGACGAGACGCAACCAGTAATATTTATTTAGGATCTGATGAACCGTACAGTCTTTATGTCACAAAGTCAACCACACTGTGTAAGGACAAGGGGCTGCTCTGATCACCTGGTCCCTTTAAGGAGGAAGCTGGGCTGCTGTTGGAGCTGGTGGTTGATCATTTACAGGCAGTCTATTTATTTTGCTCAGTGATGCAGCACAGACACCACTTCACCAACTACTGTCTGCTGCTGCATCTGAGTCAGCCATGAAGACGAACCATAGATCTAATTTCAGGTGAGTCGCACCTTAATTACAACCACGGCTATTATGATTTTATGTAATAGTTTTATTTTATTTTAATATATATATTTTTTACTATATTTTATATTTGAGATATTTTGTGAATTTTAGATATTCAGCTGTTATATGCGCCTATATCCTGGTAATCCTAGTGTTGTTTATTGCAGTTACAGTCAAATCAAGACTATATATATATATTTATATATATATATATATTGAATAGAATTCTTCTATAGAATAGAATGAATTATTAAATGGGCCTTAAAATTGTATTATCAATGTTTGTTTTATTTTTTCTATTTAATCATACGTATATTTTTATATATATACACATACATATATATAAACATATACACACACATATATATATTTATATATATTGTGATACTAACCTGGGAATACAGCAGTTATCATTTAGGATAAAATAAAGTGGTTGAAGATCTTTAAATTACACAATGTAGGACTTCAACATTTAACTTAAATCGTTACTGTGCAGGTTCAGTCCTAAAATCATTCAGCCAGTCATCAGCTCCGACGGCTGCAGCATCAGCATCTGTGCTGCAGGCAGGGACAAACAGCCGAGTACATCCTTATCATACCAATCGTTAGGTCTGTGTCCGTATCATTCGCTGATATCCCGTCGTTAAAGTTGTGTGTTTGTCACTGTGTCAGGTCACGTTGCCAATGCGGCCATCTTCTCTGTCAGGGGTCGGCAGGTCAGGGCTATGACAGGTCATCTGGGTCATCTTTGGTGTGCGCACCGGAGCAGTCAACAGTAATGTGTATGATTTGCCGAAAGGTAAGAGCTACAGTACTTACTACACAGCCATTATTTTTTCTCTGACACCAGGACACGTAGACAGGCTCTACAGTATTATTACAGTAAGACACTCCTTTGTTGGTAGAGGTGCTGCCAAATAAGAGTGATGACGCAACTCGGAAAGTGCAGTGCATATGTTGGTCACAGTGACCCAACACGTGATGGATTGCCATCTTTTTTTTTTCTTTTTTTGATTGTTAATTTGAATGTCTCTCCTCGTGTCCTCAGGAATCTGCAGAATTAGGGTCAAGCACCAGTTACAGAGACTCACATTGTCCGGTCTGTCTGCAGACTCCCAGCTTTCCCGTGCAGACCAACTGTGGCCACTTGTTCTGTGGTAGGAGTTCTCACAAACACACCGACCATGACCATTGATAATGTCTGAGGCTGAAGTTTCTGGAGAAATAAAACTATGTAAAAATATATAAACATACGACAGAGCCAGTGAATCAAAAACAACCATGACATTATCACTGCCCAATGACAAAGCTGTTTTATTCTAACTTTGACCTACAGCAGGGTGCACGGCACCTGACGTTTAAACGCTTTAACCTTCGAACACCCAAACTTATCAGACGGTGACAAAATACTGCAACTTCATTTTATTGTTATCATAAACAGACAAAGCAGCTCCTTTCACACTAATCCTGAATAATATTACTATACTTGACTACACTTGGCTAATACATAACATTAACATTTCTATTGTAGCTCCTTGTCTGATCACCTACTGGAGACACGGGTCATGGTTGGACGCCATTAGCTGCCCACTCTGCCGACAGAAGGTATGTTACACACACAAATACGTATGTGTACCATATATGGAACAAACTTCCACATGGGGTGAAAATATATGTTTTCCTTCTAGGTCAGCGTGCTGTGTCACCTGTTTAACGAGAGCCAGTCAGACCGACAGTCGAAGGAAGTTCTCGGGGAAATCACTGAATACAATAGAAGATACTCAGGAGAACCACGGCGGGTCAGTACGACATGTGACCTTTGTGACCTTCACGAAATAGAAATTGAATCAGCATTCTCTTATATTTATTGGGATATGATATGCAGTAACACGACCTAATATGACGATAAAAACATAGGGAATACCATTAAGTATATGGTTACTCTGGGGCTTGAACCCAGGACCTTATGCACATAAGGCAGGCATCATATCCACTACACTATGGAGCTACTGTACAAGATAAAGCACGCATGTCAAAGTTGAGGGGTGTACATTTTTTCACTGTATCCCACTCCAGCCCGGTACCATATGATATACGGACCAGCACCGGTCCCCGGACCAGGGTTTGAGAACCCCTGCACTAAAGCACAGGCAGATTTAATTTTTACAGAATGTTTAATCCATTTGTGATAAACAGTTGTCCTGTACTAGTCTTTAGTAATATGTATATGGTCATTGGTTCACTTTGGTGCAGTCTTACCTTTAAAGTGTATACAGTACCTGTGTATATCTAATCATCTGAACCAACTTCCTGCCTTCTTCTGATTGGCAGATGACAGACTACCTGTGTGACGCATCCCTTCTCCTGCAGCTAATGGCACGAGGCCTTGGCACCATGGGCGGGCTGGTTTGGCTGTTCTTCTTCAGAGTGGTTTTGTGCTGCGTGGGGACTGTAATGTCCATCTCCTCTCCTCCTCTGGAGACAGTTTCATCATCATCTTCATCATCATCATCATCAGCCATACAGTTAGACTCTGATCCTTCCCTCTGTGGGCTGCTGGGAGTCCTGGACGACCTGGTGGTCGTCATACTGCTATTAATGTGCGTTATTAACATCAACCAGCAGATGGTGTCGGAGAGAGGACCCTCGGATAACACCACCACCACCACCACTCAAGGAATGATGGGAAACTCACTGTAGAGTGGACACTAACTATTGGACACTATCATGTGATTTTGTATCAAAGCCACATTAACTTTGTCAGTTGTTTACAGAGACTTTTATAGAGGGATTTTTTTAACACATTGAGTCTAAAAAAAAAAATCAGTACCTATCGACTCTTAATTGGATGATTACCTCTAACGAATTATTTGTTTACATGACATTTACTTGTTATTAAAATACATTTTAACAAACATCCGACAGCCATTCATCCACAACAGAAACCACTGCCTTCTGGAACTTGGGGTCAAGGGTCATAGATCTATTTGGATGTAGATTAGAAGTGATCTGGCCTGTATTTCAGATCCAAAGACGACCCACCTACAGCACTGCGGTCACCAAACCACAGCAACAGTTATAGCTACATTTCCATTGTGTGAAATAATTTGTAAATAAAGACTATTTATTGCTTTAAGTTTTGTTGATTTTTTTTTTTTTACTAGTGAATGTTTTCATTCGAATTATACATGACAGACAAAAGAAAACTGGTGGAATGTTTGCAAAATGGACAGAGACGAACATAAGTGTCAGTTCAGGTGAGCACAATATTCAATGTATAGACTGTGAATAGTTCTCAGCTGAGATAATACTAATGTGACAGTGATTGCAGACTTTGAACCGAGCTTCATCACTGAGCACTGGCGCACCAGGCAGCTGCGTTCCTGAACATACGAAGCCAGGGTGAGGGTGTGAGAGAAGCTCTGAGGTCTCTCGGGGCCCAGGCCCACTGCCAAGCCCGGGTGCAGCGCTCAGGGTGAGGCATCATGGCCAGGTGTCTACCGTCCCTGGAGCACAGCCCCGCGGTACCCAGCGGAGAGCCGTTAGGGTTGAGGGGGTACTCCTCAGTCGGACCACCCTGGTCATCCAGGTACCGCAGTGGGGCGAGTCCTCCAGAAATGATCTGCTCCTGAGCTTCAGAGCTTCGGAATTGCATCAGACCTGTGAACGGTAGAGATGTTAGGGCGGAAAAATCAATATTTGACACAGCTGCTAGTGACCCGTGGAACGCAAGTCAGCAGAGTGAGTCGTTAAGCAAAGACGAGATGTCAAACACAGCTGTGTCTGATAAGCACACTATCGCTACACATCAGGCAGGAGTGGACTCTACCTTCTCCATGTGCGACCCACACTCCCAGAGCGGAGCCCTCCATGCCTTTGAGCCAGACGGACGGAGAGGCCTGTATCCCCACACTGACGAAGCGGGACTCAAACCTGCCAGACTTATTATGGGTCAGGACCACTTCAGACTCTGGAGGAGGTGTCAACAGAACAGCAAAGCGTAGTGTGTTCATATTACTGATCAAAACGTCCCATCTACAGTGACAATATTCAATTCACACGGACCTAAAATGACCTTCGTATTTAATTCATAATTCAAATCAATCAAATATGCATTCACTGTGTTTTACTATCCTGTCATCTTTCTCTTACCTCCTCCATCCTTGCTCTCTCCCACCCAGCCCAGCAGCGCCATCAGCTGGCAACCATTACACACACCCAGACTCAGTGTGTCGTCCCGTTCCCGAAAACGACTGAACTCAGCCTTAGCTTTGGGGTTGAATGCAACAGTAGCAGCCCAACCTGAGACGAAAACAGAGCAGTGGCTCATGAGACTGGGAGTTTCTGATGAAAACAAATCTAGCTTCCCGTAAAGTACTTTCTGATAAAAACAAATCTAGCTTCCCGTAAAGTACTGTACGTATTTCAGTACACACAGAGAAATACTGAGCTTAAAACGTCAGACATACTTATTGTTTATAAAACAAAACAAAAAACAAAAACAAAAAACAAGGCAGGAGTAATGAGTAACTACTTAGAGGAGTGTCGAAAATCTTTTAAAAAAAATTGTTCAGACGTGCCTGTGGAGCTTTACCTTTTGCGGAGCCTAAGACGTCTGCGTAGCTGAAACCACCGACGAACACCACGGCTTTGAAACGGTCTAAGGTCAGGGACCCGGAGCACAAGTCCTGCATGTTTACATCCCACACCTGAACAAACACAAACACAGACAAGAGACTGGTACATCACGGTGGTCAACAGGAAGTATTGCAGCTACTGCTGATACTGGTAGTTATGCTTAAATTCCCACACTCGTGAGGAAACATGCCAGCTCCTCACAGAAAGACTGGGATGTGATTAAAAAAAAAACAGCGACTTGATGTGAACTGACCTCAAAGTCGGCCTCGTACAAAGACACGGACATCTCTCGGTCTCCGTTGCTGCCTTCTTCTCTGACAACGGCTACTCGAGGCTGCCCTGAAGCTACAAGAACAAGACAAAACAGAGTCATCTTTAATGATGCCACACAGGATTTTGTTAAAAAATAAATAAATCAAGAAGTCTGAGGCATAGTGTTCACACTAAATTGATCATAATATCATTTGTTATATTTATTTTTTATTATATTTAATTAAAATATTCAGCCTTAAACTTTGCATAATATATAATGATGTTGTGGAGGCTGTCTGACCAATCAAAAAAGCAGAAGATTGGTCAGACTAGAAACAGTAGTTTCCAGCCATTCAAGGTTTGTAACCTCACGGTCCTGTACCGCCCCCTAGTGTTCGTTGCAGAGACGACACCAACCATACTCTCCAGAAACCAAACTTTTGCTGACCTTTTTATGCAGGAGCAATCACTAGACAACCAATCACCTTACAGAACACACCACGCAATGTCTTCCAATAAGAATCTTTAAACTATCGACATTTCTACGTAGTCTCACCGAGCTGGTCGATGCTGATCTTTTCACAGGGGTCGAAGGACAGTTTGAAGTGGGGCTGCGTCCTCTTGGCCAGTCCTTTCTCTTCCTGTTCCACACAGAGCTCATTGGCCTGCAGGCGTTCAAGCTGGAAACTGGTGTCCTCCCACAACGCTCTGAGTTTGGGAAGCTGTTCTTTCAGCACCTCCTCTCCGTCTACACAAACTCTGACCTGAAAAATTGAAGAAATGAGAATGGATTCTTAACACAGCACAAGCAAAAACTGGACATTCAACCTCTGGTCTCACCGTAGCCTCGGGCCCAAAGCCACATGTTTTGCCAATTTGGAGGCACTGGACAGACGCCTGGCTAAATCTCTGTCTCACTGTTTCCACGTCCCGTTCTGACACTTCCAAGACCAAACCCAGCTCCTCACTGAAGAGCAGCTCCATAACTATAGAGAAGAATCAAAAATGATGAGGGAGAGTTTCGTCAAAACATAAATCTTCCAAACGTTTTCCTCACCCCCGCATCCATTCGATGATAATTCCACATCAATTCCACGGTTCCCTGCGAATCCCATTTCCAGCAAACAGGAAATGAGGCCTCCATCACTGATGTCATGTCCAGCACTGAGCAGACGATCTGAAATATACAATAACAACTGAAAACCGGCTTGACTAAATAAAAGTGCTCCACCACCAGGTGGCAGTGTTCACACGTTATAAAACAACGGCTTAATCACAGGCACGTGTTTCACCTTCTTCATGCTTTACATTTTCCTAATAACAAATCTCTTTCTGTGTGCTTCTGTGACCCGGAAGACAAACTGACCGTGGATGAGAGTCTGAGTGGTGTTGAAGCAGGCGGTCAGCAGCGCTGGCTGTTCCAGGTCAGGGCAACAGTCTCCCAGCTGGCTGTAGCACTGAGCTAGGGCAGAACCTCCCAGACGGTGATGGTCTGGGCTGAGAGGAACCCACAACAGCACACCTGCAGACAGCGGGAGACAGGGAGTCAGAGGCAGAGGCAGACTCTGAAGAAAAATACAGGTTTGATGTAAAGGTACCTGCAAGTAGTTTGACCGATTGTTTAGTGATTGAAGTAAAGACAATAAATATAACATTTTTAAGCTATTCAAAATGCTAATTTAATCCATCCATCCAATGTGTGCTACAGCAAAGCACTTTCCAAGAGACCCCTCATCGTGGCTGTGGATTGATGGCACTGACGAATGTGTGAGAGAGAGAAAAAAAAAAACCTTGACTACAAATGCACTGTGTGAATGTGTGACTCGATGTGTGAATGGAAAGACAAGTGTAACTGCTGAGGTACAATTATACTCTGTTAACACAGACGATTACTGGAAATAAAAAGTGGCTTCGAGCAAGTTTTTTTTTTTTTTGTCATAAATGAAGCATCATTTTAACCTTCCATTGACATCGATGTAACAAGTTGGTCAATTGTTGGATATTTTTACTGATGGTTTTGTCTTAATGAGTCCAAAACATCAAAATATCTTCTTGTTTTTTTAACGTGTTTTTATCATTGATTGTGTTCTACCTTTGCCATCGGGGTTCTCGAGATCGGGCGTCACCGTGGCCGTGATGTCGGGACAAACGGCGTACGCTGATATGACCAGGGCACCTGGAGCAGAGGCAGAACTGTCTGGTTAAAGAGACCAATGAACCGAGCGGACCTCACAAACACAATAATAAAGTGGAGACGTTACCTGGAGCTTTGACCGTCTCTGTGCCCACTCGTGCTGCCATGCTCAGAGAGTCCTTGCCTCCATCAAGGGCGACTCCGAGCTGAGCCATGACCTCACACATGGCTTTGCAGGCCTCCAACAGACAAGCACCTTCACCTGGAAGCTTGGCGGCCCACATCCAGTTGCCACTGCACTTTACATCCTGACAACACACATACATGGTGATGTATGGATATATACATTTAAATAGAAATTTATATATATATATATATATATATATAGTATAACTATAATGTATCCAATGTTTATAATTGTAACATTTAATCAACAAATAAATGTTAAATTTCCCTCAAACATCAATGCGGACATTT